TATGTATGTATGTGTATGTATGTATGTATGTATGTATGTATGTATGTATGTATGTATGTATGTATGTATGTATGTATGTATGTATGTATGTATGTATGTATGTATGTGTATGTATGTATGTATGTATGTATGTATGTATGTATGTATGTATGTATGTATGTATGTATGTATGTATGTGATGTATGTATGTATGTATGTATGTATGTATGTATGTATGTATGTATGTATGTATGTATGTATGTATGTATGTATGTATGTATGTATGTATGTGTATGTATGTATGTATGTATGTATGTATGTATGTATGTATGTATGTATGTATGTATGTATGTATGTATGTATGTATGTATGTATGTATGTATGTATGTATGTATGTATGTATGTATGTATGTATGTATGTATGTATGTATGTATGTATGTATGTATGTATGTATGTATGTATGTGTGTATGTATATGTATGTATGTATGTATGTATGTCTGTATGTATGTATGTATGTATGTATGTATGTATGTATGTATGTATGTATGTATGTATGTATGTATGTATGTATGTATGTATGTATGTATGTATGTATGTATGTATGTATGTATGTATGTATGTATGTATGTATGTATGTATGTATGTATGTATGTATGTATGTATGTATGTATGTATGTATGTATGTATGTATGTATGTATGTATGTATGTATGTATGTATGTATGTATGTATGTATGTATGTATGTATGTATGTATGTATGTATGTATGTATGTATGTATGTATGTATGTATGTATGTATGTATGTATGTATGTATGTATGTATGTATGTATGTATGTATGTATGTATGTATGTATGTATGTAGTATGTATGTATGTATGTATGTATGTATGTATGTATGTATGTATGTATGTATGTATGTATGTATGTATGTATGTATGTATGTATGTATGTATGTATGTATGTATGTATGTATGTATGTATGTATGTATGTATGTATGTATGTATGTATGTATGTATGTATGTATGTATGTATGTATGTATGTATGTATGTATGTATGTATGTATGTATGTATGTATGTATGTATGTATGTATGTATGTATGTATGTATGTATGTATGTATGTATGTATGTATGTATGTATGTATGTATGTATGTATGTATGTATGTATGTATGTATGTATGTATGTATGTATGTATGTATGTATGTATGTATGTATGTATGTATGTATGTATGTATGTATGTATGTGTATGTATGTATGTATGTATGTATGTATGTATGTATGTATGTATGTATGTATGTATGTATGTATGTATGTATGTATGTATGTATGTATGTATGTATGTATGTATGTATGTATGTATGTATGTATGTATGTATGTATGTATGTATGTATGTATTGTAATGTAATGTACGTGATGTAATGTATGTAATGTAATGTATGTATGTAATGTATGTAATGTAATATTACGTAGTGTAATGTATGTAATGTATGTAATGTAATATTATGTAATGTAATGTATGTAATGTATGTAATGTAATATTATGTAGTGTAATGTAATGTAATGCTATGTAATATAATGTTATGTAATATAATGTTATGTTATGTAATGTAATGTAATGTATGTAATGTAATGTTATGTATGCAATGTAATGTAATGTTATGTTATGTTTGTAATGTAATGTATGTATGTAATGTAATGTATGTATGTAATGTATTATATGCATGTAATGTTATGCATGTAATGTAATGTATGTGATGTAATGTATGTATGTATGTAATGTATGTATGTAATGTATGTATGTATGTAATGTATGTATGTATGTAATGTAATATATGCATGTAATGTTTTGTATGTAATGTAATGTATGTATGTAATGTATGTAGTGTATGTATGTAATGTATGTAATGTGTGTATGTAATGTATGTATGTAGTGTATGTAATGTATGTATGTAGTGTATGTAATGTATGTATGTAGTGTATGTAATGTATGTATGTAGTGTATGTAATGTGTGTATGTAATGTATGTCTGTAATGTTTGTAATGTATGTATGTATGTAATGTATGTAACGTAATGTAATGCATGTATTGTAATGTAATGTAATGTATGTAACGTAATGTACTGTAATGTACTGTACTGTCATGTAATGTACTGTAATGTACTGTACTGTCATGTAATGTAATGTACTGTACTGTAATGTAATGCACTGTAATGTTATGTATGTAATGTAATGTATGTAATGTAATAGATGTAATGTAATGCGATGTATGTAATATAATGTGATGTATGTAATGTAATGCGGTATAATATAATGTATGTAATGTAATGTATGTAATGTATGTAATGTATGTAATGTATGTGATGTAATGTAATGTTTGTAATGTTATATATGTATGTAGTGTTTTATATATATATAAAAAGAGATGATGGTCAACAATTTCGTAGGGGTAGTTACATATCTGGCACTCTGGGGAGTGTTGTTGCTGTATTCTGTTTAGGTGTCCATTGAGTGGAGTATGTTGTGTTCTGAGTCTGATGATGGTGGCCTGGTCCCTTCTTGTTAAATCGTCAATGCTGTGGTTAGGATCAGGGCCAGCCATGTGTCTATAAACCTTTCTTTCAGTATCTTCCATGGCCCACCTGTTCAACCAAGTCTCTTTGTTTATATCTTTTATAAGTGTTTTTGCTGTCTGTAGGGCTGTCGCTGTAGGTGGTTGTTCTTGTGTTGCTCCTTTCTTTGCCAGTTTGTCAGCTCTGTCATTACCTGGTGTGCCGGTGTGGCCTGAAATCCACTGCATCACTATTCTGATGTTATATGAGGTAATGAGATGATGAGCATCTAGAATTATCCTGGCTATGTCAGTTCTGCAGCGTTCAATGAGCTTGAAGAGCAGACATTGAATCGGTAAAGATGACAATTTTTTGGGCATTTGAAGGAAAAACCTCCATTAAGGTTTTTAGGTGATATAATGCGGTTTTCAGTGCAGTTATTTTAGCTTCATAATTTGAGCAGAATTCCCCGATGGATGAAAAATCTCTTCAACAGATCCATCAGGAAAGCCTATGTATATTCCGTAACCTGCTTTAATAGTAGCTTTGAATGCAGATCCATCAGTAAAAACATGTATCCATTCTTCGGGGTAAGAATCAGTGGTCTTTAGTGATGAGTTCACAAGGGTGATTGGGTCGGATTGTTTAGTTTCTTCGTCTACCAATTTCAACCGGACTTCTGGAGCTTTAAAACAAGCATGTGGTGGTAAGTTTCTTGCAACCTTCTGAATACCTTGACGTCTTTCTGGGAGGTGGCATCTGTCCTATGTTTCATATACACAGTGTAAAACCAATTTGTGCTTTATTCTTTGTTTGTCTTCCCAATTTTCTATAAGGTGTCTATTAGGATGGTTACAGTTCTTTTTAATCTTCTAAAGTGGCTTTTTCTCTCCGCAACCCGAGGGGCTCCACATTTGTATGGATTTCACAGGCAGCAGGTGGAGTAGACCGCATAGCTCCGCTGATCAATTGGAGAGCATTATTTTGTATTCTGAGGTCTCCATTAAGTCTTTGGGCTCCACTTTCTATATTTTCATGACTCTACCATATTGCTGGATCATCAGCGTAAAAGTCTGTCTCGGCCTTGGTTTGTTCTGGCAAGTTGTTGATAAAAATTAGAAACAGTGTAGAGCTCAATGATGAACTTTGTGGCAAGCCCTCCTTCAAGAATTCTTTAGATGAGATTGCGTTGTGTAATTTAGTCTGGATTGTTCTATCAGATAATATTTAACCCAGTTATACAACCTGCCATGTATTCCTATGCTCATCATCATTATCATGTGGCCTTTCCTCCATACTCTCTCATTGGTCTGCTGAAGGTCGACATAGACGGCCACTGTGTGTTTCTTATTCTGGAAGCCATCATGTATTTTTTGTGTCAGTCTGAACAGCTGGTCTTCTGTAGAGCTGTTGGTTGTGAAGCCTGCCTGTTCATGGCATAGAACACCAGAACTCTCTAGGAACCAATACAAGCGCCTGTATTTTGCCTAAGCATGATGTTAAGGATATCGGGCGGTAGCTTTCCGGGTCATCTGGAGGCTTATTGATTTTTTAAGTATGGGCGAAGTATGCATTCCTCAGTGAATTTGGAAGTTTGCCTGATCTCCATGGCTTATTAATCAGCATGAGAACCACTTCTCTGCCAGACAGGCTAAGATGTAGCAGCATTTCGTTGTGAATTTTATCTGGACCTGGGGGTTTTCTAGGTTTTAATTTCTTCAGGGCTTGTTCTAATTCATCCATGCTAAACTCGTCTTCAAAAAGGGAGTCGCTGGCTGTTGGAGCTCTCTCTTGTTTCTTTATCTGAGATAGCTATATTGTGTCCCATTCTGTGCGTTTGCCTGCTCTGTTAATAGAGGCAAAATAATGATTGAAATGTATGGCTTTCTTCTTGTCTTCAGTGATTGTCTTACTCCCATCTGTCACTGATTTTGGGTTCACCCTTCTACTTTCTCCGGAGAGGTTTTTAATTAAAGTCCATGCTTTATTTCCATCCTGTTTAATGTCTAAGTGGGAGCAAGTTTCTGTCCATCTATCTCTTTTAGCCCTCTTAACTGCAAGGCATTACTCTGGCACAGGCTTTATTGTATTGGATCTTTGCTTCTGGTGAACGTGCAGTTTCGACTAAAATTCTTGCTTTATTCCTTACAAATATATTATTTTGAATTTCTTTTTTTTCCAGAAAGGTTTATATGCCTTCCGGCAGCCCCTTGGGATGGCTTTCAACTCTGCATTCAAAACGGCTTCTCTTAAATCTTCAAAAAACGTTCCAAACAGCTGTTGTCAATTCTTTCCAGGAGACAGTCAGATAGTTCCTGAAACAGTTTCCAGTTTGCCGAGTACAGCTAGCATATATATATATATTGGAAGATATGCATATATGTATGTATCTATATCTACACACACATTATTTATATCGACAGGACGATCGCCAAGTCTTGCTTGCTGATGTTTGTCGTGCTCCCAATGACAGCTGAGACACAAAGTGCTTTGACAACAACAGAGAAAACAACCCAGTGCTCCACCACTGGATCCACTGCCACAAGTACGACAGGGACTACACCGAGATCAACGGGGTCCACAACACCCCCACCCATTATATGTGGGGCCAAAGCTCCATCGACTTTACCACCAACGACAGAATCACCCACTACAGAATCACCTACTACAAATTCACCTACTACAGAATCACCCTCTACAGAAACACCAACTACAGAATCACCCACTACAGAATCACCCACTACAGAATCACCCACTACAGAATCACCCACTACAGAATCACCCACTACAGAATTACCCACTACAGAATCACACACTACAGAATCACCCACTACAGAATTACCCACTACAGAATCACTCACTACAGAATCACCAACTACAGAATTGCCCACTACAGAATCACCCATTAAAGAATCGCCTACTACAGAATCACCAACTACAGAATCACCCACTAGGGAATCACCAACTACAGAATCACCCACTACAGAATCACCTACTTCAGAATCACCAAATACAGAATCACCCACTACAGAATCACTCACTACAGAATCACCAACAACAGAATCGTCAACTACAGAATCTCCAACAACAGAATCACCAACTACAGAATCACTTATTACAGAATTACCAACCACAGAATTCTTAACAACTGAATCTGTAACTTCTGAATCGCCATATACAGAATCCGTTACTACAGAAACAGCAGAAGAGAATCATACAGACTCCACAACGCCACTCTCGCCCCTGACTAGACAGGACAGTGGAAATGAAGGTATGTGGAAGTTCATTTAATCAGCAATCAAAGAAACGAAACAAACTAAATCATAAAGTAAAAGTTAGCTTCCTGGGGATATTTTCGTCAGTGTTTCCGGTGTGTGGGAAATGAACAGGCAGATAGATTGACTGGTTCTGCATCACTTGGTGTGTTAACGTGATGTATGACAAGATAGATGTTGTAAGCTTCCTTTGGGAGCGAGTAAACAGTGCAGAGGTACACATAGATCATCATGGTCTGAAGAGAATGGTGATGCAAGGAGTCCCCATGGGATCTCGCTAGCGCTAAAGCTTAAGGGAGGGGCAAGATGGACAGTCAGACTGTTACTGTGCCATTTAAATTGGAACTCGGCGAAGAAGATGGGGATGGGGTGTTTATGTTAATGTCCCGAGTGCTATGATGTCATTCTTAACGACTAACTTACAGCATAAAGTGTGAGTGATAAAATTAGTAAAAAAGATGATAGTTTATAGTCTAGTTTTGGCTGCATAACATAATGTTCATTTGTATCTCCGCAGTGTTCAGCTACATCCATTTGGACCGCATGCCTAACGAATGCTACGTTGGCGCGCTCAAGTCAACCCTGTATGAGATCATGTACATGACCCTCTGTGGCGCCCACTGTCTGGACGACCTTTCGTGTGCCGGGGTCAACTTCTGGCCCAGAACCCGCAAGTGTGACTTGATATTTGAGGATACAGCCAGGAGCCCTCAGACAGTCAAGATGTCGCCGAGTGTGAATATTATAAAGTTGTTATGTAGTTAGTATAATATTGGCGTTGTTGTATTCTGGAGGCCAAAGAATCTATAAGCCAGGCCACACGTACAAATTAACATTTCCTATTGTAACCATTAACATTGTCTATACCCCTCCAAGTATGATCTTGTAGAATGGTCTTGTAGTGAGATCAGTCGCTTTATTGTGGACGAACACATTGCGACAAAGATGAACTGGTGATCAATGGCTCACTGTCAAGTCTTTTACTGCCTTCCAATTACTCACATTGACCCTCTCTCCAGACATGGACAATACACCCCAGCGAAATTTGTACAAGGATTACTCACACCCGATCGCGCAGACACCCCTATGTGATAGTCAGTGATAGTTTTCTGACAGTTCTTCTCCTAAAAGATCCTGCTTTATGCAGGACATGGTGAACATAATCTAGACCTCCAGTCCGCGACTCCAGCCAGTCACTGAAGTATCCATCTCGTTAACCAGCCTCCAGTACCTCCCTATCACAACTCAACTTTTGTCAACAAACATAAAGTTCCCCAGCACTTTCTGTGCACTTAAGGATACCCCGTCAACCAACGCGCCACATAGCCGTCACAGTGCCACCACACACATACACACACATGGTCGACACAAGTCTATTCTAGAAAATCACTGACAGAATCCCAAAATCCTACTCATGATCCATCACAATCATCCGGACAGTTCACATGAACTTCACACAATAAAACATTGGTAAAACTGCGCTACGACACAGTCCATAGGTCCAATTTGCGCACAGGTCCACACATGTAGACTGACTGAAAGCTAAACTGACTCAAACTACGATAGGACTTTTCCAACCCAAGGTCAATTTCCCATTAATCTCACTTACTCGCCAACACTCGGGGATCACAACCCACGCCTGCTGTCGACCCACACGGATTCTACAATATCTGTGAAGTCCGGAAATATGTTTCAAATTCTAATGTTTCTCCAGTGGCCCATGCTCCACTCTCTTTCGGTGACCCCCACATGTTTGCATTCCCAACCTGTTGACACAACACGAATGCCTGTGTGTAACAACGCTTTACACATCCCTGGCTTCATAAACTCTTTATACCCCCAAGCGATTTTGCACACAACACATAAATGGTGTGATCTATTTTTATGGACCAGACATATGAATTGTGTAGCAATAACTTGAGCAGAGAGTGGCCAGCGGGTGCTACGGAGGTGGAAGTCTAACAGTTCTCGACCAGATAATCTGAATATCTATACAGATGGTTCGGTTTTGAGAGGAAAGAGAAGTGCCTGGGCTTTCGTAGTGAAAGCTAATGAAAAATATTTAGTGCAGGCCCACCTAGTGTACGATACCACAACATCTAGCATGTGAACAGAGGTGGAGGCAGTCTCTGCAGCTCTCCGGTGGCTAGATAACTAGATGCATTCACATGTCATAATTATAGGAGACTCTGAAAACATGGTGAGAAAGGTTAAGACAGTGATGCTTCGAGCAGAGTGGCAAGCTTCACTAGGAACGTCACGTGTAGTGAGCATAATTTTATCAATGCCATGCTGGCGTGTTGGGGAATGAACAGGCAGACAGAATGGCTGGATCTGCATCACTGGATGGTCCATTGATACACGACAAGGCAGATTTCTTCAGATCTCTTTGGAAACAAGCAACGGGGTCAGTAGCGAAACAAGATTATTATAACCTGGAGAGAATGAGGCAGCTGGGTGTAACCAGAGGGTCTGGCCGGCCCACTACACTCGGGGGAAAGGCAAGACGGACATATAACCAGATTATGACAGGTACCATTAGTATGGGAACTCTGCGCTGGCTGCTGAATATGAGGATGGAGCAGCCATTTAAATTCTCCGAGTGCTGTGATGTCAATTCCTGACTTACCTCAACTCAATTACTTGTTATTTTATTATTACTGTTATGATTAATTCTAATACTGTTAATCTCAAGTATTATTCAGAGTTTTTATGTGAGTCAAGCTGATCCCACTAGGACCGTACAATGAGTGACTATCATCTGGTGACGTAAAGTGCAAGGTGTCACTATTAGGATAAAAATGCCCCAGATGGATATCCCAGAAACCTTGATCAACCGTAAGGTTATATTAGTGCTCTTGAAAAATACAAAGCAGTCTGAAGTTCTGACAGGGAAGGGCGGTAAAATTACCAGAGCTGATAAGGGTATAATCTTTGTAAATCTTTCATCCTTCCTCCTTCGCTCCATTGTCTGATTTTTTATTTTTATTTTTAATAGCATTAGATAACCTTGCATTAAAATTATATGTTTTGTAACAAAAGGAAACAGTTCCAAAATGTGAAAAATACAGAAACAAACACTTTCCTCACGCGAAACAATTTATGCTTTTGTTGTAAATAATAATCCGTGTTGTCGTGACTGTAAACATTGATATAGAATACATGAACATATGTACGAGGCGGGAGTGTTTGACTGGTCCCACATGAATAACCCTGCGATCGCTTGAAAGCTTTTTGTTAAGGCTTTATGGGCAGGTTCCAGGGCCTAGGGTGGATATAGAAGGGAAAAAAAGGGGGGGGGGGGGGTAAAGGAAACAAATTGAGGGGTTGTGGGCTACAGCCCCTTAACTCTCATGTCGTTAAAGGTGACCAATTAAGTGCTTTGTTTAATCAGAGCTAATGAGCTGAAAGTCGCAGATGTCGCAACGTAACTGTAAATGAACACACAGGGCGGAAGAAGAAGAAGATGATGAAGAAGAAGATGATGATGATGAAAAAGAAGAAGAAAAAGAAGAAGAAGAAGAAAATGATGATGAGTCACAAACTAGGCACGCAGCCCTGTCTCACATTTTGCCCTCTTAAACACCCATATTTCAAACTCCTAGTGTAATTTTATCAAGAAGATAGTTGTGTTTTGCAGATTCTGCTACGATTACTAGACAATCGGAGGAAGAACTGCAACCTATACTAACTGATGTTTGTTGTGATTTTCTCAGAAAAAAAAGAAGACATAGATTATTGTGCAAGGCAACATTAATATACATGAAATTGATACTGATGGCGAAGTGTTGAAGACAGTTAACCAATTTACACATGTGGGATCCAGGAGCAATAACAAACTATCACTGGATGAAGAAATCAACATCGGGGTGTGTACTGTAGCAACAACAAACAGCAGATTAACAAAACAGAAGTTAGAAGAACATGAAGCTCCCATTTGTAACAAAAGCTGTTGTCTATCAAGATAGTAATCTCAGCACTCTTCCTTACCGCAAGGAATCTTTGTTGTCCCGTTCTCACTAGGAGAAACGGCTAAACAGCTTTTACATGTGATATTTGCGAAGGATCAGTCAATGAGCATGTTTTTTTTTTACAGAACGTCGCTCTCTCCATGGCACGCCCGCCTATCTTTTCTCTCTTCCATTATCCATTTCTCCAGCCCGAGAAAGAGAATGCATGTGACACAGTTTGCAGCTTAATCTATTAGGGTTGTGTGTTAGACCCAGATTATCCATGCTTTTGGAGTGCTAAAAGCGCATGCGTGCTGAAATATATAAAACACGATATCAACGGCATTGCGGAACACCCCCGTAACCTTTTGTGAAGCCACGTGGCTCAAGGTAGACAAATCAGAAGTGAGCTAGGGTGATGGTTGGCCAATCAGAAGTGAGGTAGTGTGTAAATGGGGGCACTAATTTTACTTTCACCATATTTTGAGCTTAAAACGAGACATCCCATGGAAGTTAGCAAATAACCCTTCACTCCCCGGTCCTAATCGGCCCATTGTTTTCTAGGTCACAACGGTAGAAGGGTCAATTATTCGCTCGACAATATCCGTATACCACGATCTATTATGTCAAAAAATAAACAAAGCGGTATGCCCTTTAAGTGCACCGAGAAACAAAATTCTGCAATGAAAATTGCCATGAATACATTTCTCACATTAAGAGTATTCTAAGCACTAAAAAATTTAATTATGTTCACAGATACAGACAATTGTATAGTTTTTTTTTTTCTGGAAATAAATCCTATTTTTTTTAACAAGGGACAATTGATGCTTTTGGAGCACCAAGAGGACGGCGGGGACATACTTATAAACCGGGGCTGTCCCAGTGAAAACGGGACACGTAAGGTTGCCCTACCAACGGGTCAAAAATCAGACACCCGTTGAACCTCTAGAGAAGTTATAATTAGGGCTTCTGTAAGGGCTTCACCAGTCTGGCGACACCTGCTGTCCGGTGCAAGCAAGAGAAGGACATAAAAGGGTACCACGGTTCTTT